AACAACTACATTATGTAACGTTTGTAAATTAATATAATATCGAATGTTAAACCCGAATCAATACAAAAACTGCGAGCCTGACGCACGACGCTAGCTTCTAAAACGCTTCTGAAGCGTGGTTGATGGCGCTGAACCAACAACCCGCAGCTGACGCCGCCGCGGCAGAATGACGCCAGTAAACTGGGTCCAGTGGTATTCTAATTTTGCGTCCGCCGCAACGGTCTGTCCGTCACGGAGGGGGCTTGATCCGGAAACTGCCTGTCTCCTTCAGCAAGCACTGATCTGATCTCTGATCTTCTCTCTCGCTGTCCCGTTTAGACTTCACGTCGCTGTATGTCCGAATCTGATCAGACCTAGATAGCTTCTAGGATATTATATGACTGCCTGCTTATCAAAGGGGACACGCTAAACATGTTAAGCGTTGCTTGGCAACGGCGGATGTGTCGCCAAGCAGTATAGCGCAGCATTATGCCATGTTATATGAGGGGTCAAAATCCCCATGCGTCTAAAACCTATGGCCGCGGCCCAAAAATAAATATACCGAATGTGTAAGGAAACGTCAAGGAGGAGTCGCTCATTATCGTTAAACTGCACTGCTAACTTTATATCTTTGCTGTTTATCTTTGCTTTGTAAAATCTATCATTTTATAATATGTTTTCCTTAACGGCTTCTTAAGGTGTCTTTCATTTTCTGTAAAGCACTTTGAATTGCCTGTGTTGAAAGGTGCTCTATTAAATAAAACTTGCCTTGCCTAAAGTCGGTCAGAGTTTTGACCCGAACACAACAGGAGGGTTAAACCAGTGATGACAAGATGTAACTCAGCGGTAACTGTTTACTTAAAGTGGGACCCTATCATGGCGATATTTGAGATACGATGATGAGTGTAGGACCATAAAGGCATATTGCTATACTTTTTATTTTGTTTAAATACCAAGCAGATCATGCGATTTTTAGCATTCCTCATTTCGCTCGCAATGTAACACTGTTCTTGTCATGCGGGCTGGATTTGTGAGAACAGCACCAATCTACAGGCCTGGCAGTATGGTACTACAGCGGGCTCCAGCATTTTGAACGCAATATCCGTGTGTCTGCCTCCTGATTGGTGGAGTTGGCCAATAGCCGTCAGCCCACTTTTGTGAACGTCAATATAAGTGTTCAAATCTGGTCGAGTCTGTATTAGATGTCCGTTGGCAGCCCTTTTTAGAGATTATGGGTATGGAGGGAAAATAGAGGAGTTGTATTTTCCTACAGCTTGGTGAGCTTCCTGGGAAGCACCAGGGACACATTATTCATGATGATAAAAGGCGTACACAAAAGTGCATTTTGCCCCCCGGCCCGCCCCCCCGATTTCATGACTAGGTCACCTTAAAGTGGGCTAGGTAAATTTTGGGGAAACCAGCTCCGAAGTGCCCGTAGAATTGAACAATACGCACAGCGAAAGAGATCTACCGTTCCTTACAGCAGCCCTCGCCTCCAAAGCCACTACGAACGCGCACGGATGACCAATGAGGGCACGAGATAAGTTTGTGCACAGATGGAAGGCTGACAGGCAGGTAGGCCATCCAGTTATTTTAGCCGGGCCGGCTAAAATGATTGGTCGTGCTTTTTACACTACTACGGCTTCCACAGATGACATTTTTTAATGGATTTTTTGTCAAAGCACTTAAGATATTCATTGCTATCGGGATGTTAAGAGCATTCCATGGAATATAACAAAAAGTGTATCTCGAGCCGGTTTCTCAAACTTACCTACCCCACCTTTAAGTACACATTTAATGTAGCCTACTTATTATTCAGTATTTGCACTTATTTTATTTTCATCTTTTGCAGACCAGTAGCCTGTTTGACATCCAGGTGTTAACTGAGTAAATGTACTCAATTACTTTACAGTAGTACAACGTTGAGGTACTTGAGTATTAATGCTACTCAACTATAATGAAGGGACAATAATGTACTTTTAACATATGTTTTTAGATTTTTTGTTACTTTGAAGATTCCGGTATAGAGCAATATTACAAAAATAATTTATAATTATATTTATATCTTTGATTATATATTGATCCCTTGGGGAAATTCACAGGCTACTTTGCAGTATATTGTAAAATTCCTTCACAAGCTGCAACAATACAGTAAACAAATAATGCATTAATAAGAACGATGCATTGATAAAACCTACAATATTTTAGAATTTTGTGTAAACATTTTGTTGTTGTTGTACTTTAGTAATATTAAGCATATTTATTAATGTTAATAATTTTGTACTTTTACTTAACTACGACTTTGATTAGTATGCATCTCTATTTAGTTGTTAGCATCTCTCTGTGGCTGTTTTTCATTTTGGTGGAATTTTTCTGTCCGTTTAGCCAATTTATTTCTTTGTTCTGTGATTTTACGTTTATTTTGAGTAGTTTTGCTCCTAGTTGTCAATTTGCATCTCTGTGATAGATTTGCAATTTTTTATTTGCTGTTTTTATTTCACTGTGGTCATTTTGGGTCTCTCTGTCCTCATCTAGTTTTTAAAAATATATTTTTAGTCTTTTTTTTTGTAGTGTGCAATTTTCAGCCATTGATACTTTTTGATATTTGATATGTTTTTAAGTCATTTTTATTTACTTTTTGACTTTTTTTAGTCTTAATTTTACAAATCTTTGTTGTAGGTTTGCATCTACATTTTGTATCTTTACTTGTTATTTTAGCTTTTTGTGGTTGTTTTGAATCCATTTTAAGTTGTTTTGAGCATCTCTGTGATTGTTCTGCATCCACTCCATCAATACTGCAATCCATTTAATTGTGCATCTTTTTATATTAACTGTTGGTCTCTTTACAGACATTCCTACTCTTTGTAGTCGTTTTGCAACTATTTTAGAAGTTTCATGTTTGTTTATGGTCATTTTTTGTCTCTAATAGTTCATTTCTAGGATTTACTGAGTTCCTGGTGTGTTCGGAATATTCACCCACTTCTTAAACTAAACAGCCTTGGATCAGCTGAAAATGCATCGTTTGATTGTTTTTCACAGATAAATATGATGAGCTAATAAAATATGATGCAATTTCATATATTAAACTTCCCAACAGTGTATTAAGGTGAAGAACCATATACTGTATTACAGTATAAAGCGACAGGGAACCTTTTACTGCCCGGGAACCCTACTTCACACAGGTTGGTGAGACACGTGCTGGTGCACATGAGACCCCCCCCAGTTAAATCCGTGGGGGGGGGGCAGCTGGATACTCACGAAGGCATAAACAGCTCACCTGACCCCCCCGCTTCATGTGCACTACACCTGCCCTCCTGCTCTGATGTGTGTGGAGCTGCAGCTCTGTGAAGGTCTGCTGTGTTGTGAGCGTGGGACGACAGGCTACATGTGTCAGAGAGAAACCACTTCAGTGTCCCTGTAGGAGGAGAGCATGGGTAAAAATACACACAGTGGATTCATTATTATGAAAACAAGCTCTGAGAGGATGGAAGTGTAGTTGAGCTGCTGATGTTCTGTGTCATTCTGAATGTTTACAGATTAGGGTTTAGCTGCAGGAGAGCCGATGGTGCTGGATCCCCATCGGAAAGAGGTGGATGGAAGGAGACGAGTATTCCTTAAATCCACACACTTTTCATAAAAAAAAAAAATTAGATCACACTATTTTATGTTCTATTTGATCATTTCACATGTCCACACTGAAGATCTTTTAATCAAATTACAAAAAAGTATTTGATATAAAAGCTGGAGAGGATGGACATAAAAGACCTTCAAAACTGAATTCATTTCCAACTCTTTAAAACAGATTTATTTTTAAAAGCATAAATGGGTTTTTCTTTTTTCAAATATTTTACATTCATTGAAATTCTGACTGCAAAATATACATCAAATGCTTTTATACAGTCATGGTCATACTTTTGAGTTAGTGATTTTAGAGGCAGGGCTATCAATGTCACTTTCTGGTTAGAACTACCATCTTTTTGTTTCATCTGAATCTCTAATAGAATTTAAAGTTACATAAATGAAATTCAGTTAGGTAAAGGGACCTTCAGTAAAAAGAGATAATGTGAACTTGAATTATCAAATATATGTGTGGGATTGCTTCCGTTATGACAATGAACTCATTCCAGGTAATATTGTCTGAAACTATCCTGACAGAAGAGCACGAGACTTGAACTAAGGAAACCACAGCTTCTTGTGGTGAAAGCGACCCCTTCTGAAGTTACTGCTGTGGTTAGCCACGAGAGAGAAAGCTGACCCTACTATTTATGATCGCATTTGTTCAGTGTTGATAGCGTTCTAATTTATTCATTACTGATGTAACCTATAGAGTACTTCATTATTTTTAACTGAACATGCAACATTAGATTATAGGAAGGCCAATAATATTTCCAATAATACATTCAATTAATATTTTAAGTTGAGCTCTTTCCTTTCAGTTATTTAATTGAAATGTTCTAGGAAACAGAATATTTCTAAAACCGAACCACAGGTTTGAATATAGTTAGTATTATATCTCAGGTGGACGGGTGCCTTTAGCTTTAAACATTAAATTAAACAAAAAGTACCATTTCAGATGTTTTTTTTTTTTATTTGATTTGAGGGTTTTCAACAACTCACTTTTAGGCAAAGAAAAAGGATAGTAATTTAGTAATATTACATGTTTTAGTTTTACAGAAAAGAAAGAACATGTTGGACAGGACCTAAGTAATGAACTATGTGTACACGTTGTGTTACAAAAATTGGGCTTCACTGTGGCAATGAGGGAGCGGGTAAAGGGTACGGGGGGGGGTGGGGGGGGGTGGGGAGGGGGGGTGGGGGGATTATCACATCGATGTACAATATACTCATCCTCTGCTGTTTTACAAGACCCCACCTCGTTCCCTCCCACCCATACAATACCAAACATGATTAAAAAG